GAAATTTATTTTTTCTGTTTTGATTAGGTGTCTACAGTCCATCAGTGGGACAGGGGACTGTATGCATATTGTTTGATTGTTCTACCCCTGTKCCCACCCTCCCTACCCTCCCCGTACTCTGTGACCACCGGGTTTCTCAAGTACCACATCAGCTAGCACTGATGTCGATGGAACAAGACACCGGGGCACCGCCACGACGCAGTGCCAGGCTTGCAGGGCGTGCTCGCTCTGTGATACCTCTCCGACGCAGGACTCAGCGACTCAGCAGCAGGACGACTCCAGCGCCATCGAGTACAACATTGACGGTACCGGGTACCACCAGAGTTCTTCCCGCATGCCCGGAACAAGGGGCCCGTGAGCCGTTGGCAGATTACCTTCAGCGGGTACAGGCATTCACCGATGCCGTAGCAACCGCAAAGGCACATGAGGAAGCAGAGGCGGAACGTCAACGGCTGGCCAAAGAGGCGGCAGCCCAAGCTCAGCAGACTGTTGAGGATGACGCAGCAACACGGGACCAACGGAATGCCGCCAGCACGGAATCCCTGATTCATAATGAGAATCAGTGGACAACGATCCTCGAGGGCGTGATCTTTGTGCCTTCGGAAGAGCAGGCAGATCCGACACCGGCCGAGGCAGAGAGGACTCACCTGGCTAACGTGATGTTGAAAATGATGCGACTGATCATGTGGAACAATACGATGTAAGCAGTATAAATACACGAAGGCAGACAACTGCAAAAGATTCAGCAGAATGATTCTGCAGCCTTGTCAGCAGCTGTTCGCACTACCGCCACACATCAGCAACAACAGCAACAGCAACAGCTGTGGAACACCACCACCGCACGCGTCAGCAGCATCGAGGCTAAGGCCTCAGCAGTGCCAGGCTGCACGACAGACGAGATGAAGCAACTCAACGGGCGCATCGATCACGTCGTCAAGCTCATCGGCGACATAGGTATTTTCAATGGGCCGGACACGATCAGTAGCACGGTGGCCGCCATCAAGACGGACATCACCAAGCTACAGACGAGACCGGACACCGCGACGAAGAGTTACAAGATGCCACACTTCGACATCAGCAAGTTCGACGACCACAACAAGACGGACGCCTTGGCATGGTGGCAACGTTTCCTTATGGAAGCAAGCTGCCGCATTGTCCCAGACGACTACATGATGAAGGCGCTACACTTACAGCTGATTGGAGGAGCGCAGGCATGGATGAACCACCTGGCGGCTACCCACACATGCACCATCGCCGAACTTCACACACACATCACGTGGAAGGAGTTCGAGCAGCTATGGTTCACCCGGTTCATGGTCCGCAACGTCGTGAAGGCGGCCATGAACGAGGTGTACACCTGCTCTCAAGGAAGTATGCCAACTCGAGACTGGACAACCAAGTGGCAGAAGATAGTGACCACGCCAGGCTTCGATTTGACTTTTTCAAATCAACCATCCGAGTTCTTCTCGCGATCGTGCGCAGGATTGCGGTCCGCACTCGGTAATGAGTACGACTATACCTCGTTCCAGGCCATCCTGGATGGCGCAAACCTGGTCTTCCAAACGGACGACAAGGCTGCTAACGAGAAACAATCCCAGCCGCATTATGTGGCTAAGCAGGGCTATCAACGCCCGGCACATAACAATGCCGTAATCTCTGAAGGAACAGACGATCTCCACGCTGCAGCAACATCCTCGAGTGATGGAGGAATTGTAGCAGCGCTCCCGCCGAAGCGTCCTGAGAGGGTCCGGAAACCCAAGGCGACAAATGAGACGACATCGACGGGAACTGGGCAGCAGCCATGGACGGCCTACAACATCACAAAGGAAGTCTATGAACTTCGTCAGAAGTACAGATATTGCCTTTGGTGCAATGGAGTCACACACTTGACTGCACAATGCCCCGAAAAGGGCAAGGCACGCGTACTTCGTACAGCAAACTCGGGAAACTGAGTTACTCAAGGAGAGGGGCGACGTCTCTCCTCACTCTGCCGGACCCGGTTGCCTTGCTATCAATCGATGTCACTATCGGGGAGCATGCATTAGTCGCTGATTCTCGTGCTACGTACGAGATTTATGCCGCCCAGCTGGTACCACCATTAGACCAGCCAAGCCACGTGCATTTAGCTAGCGTATACGCAGCCTGTACACCGTCGGCAAGTGATCCGGTCAGTTCGCCACTGATTTCCGAGGACTCGACGGCGTGGTCAAGACTTGAGGAGCTTGACCCACTCACGAGAGAGGACTTCGCTTGGATGCCTCTACCCTCGACCGGAACCTTGCCAAGGCCGCATTGCAACGCCTTGATCGCAGATTTACGCTCCAATGTGCACACTACAGTACCAGCTCCGTTGATGGACGACGGGGTAGCAGTTGTCGATCTCCGCTCCTATCTTGCGAAGATTGACCGCGAGTACACCACCCAAAGGTACGCCGAAACCGACGCTCCTTTGCTCTATATCCGCATTCAAATCGGAAAGGCAACCTGTAGTGCCTAAACTGATTGCGGAGCGTCTCGCAACATTATGAGCCAAGCCTTTATGGCCCGCGCAGGTCTTGGCCCGCGCGTTCGAAGGAAGACGCAACCCATGCAAGTTACACTCGCGGACGGCCGCACGCAAAAGTCAATCGACCGATGCGTCGACGGCGTTCCGGTATACTTTGCGCCACTTGCGTGCGAGC